ATTTGATTTTTGAACTTTTTCGGGTGTCATCTATCATCCTGGATAGGGAAAAAACGGGAGAAGATGCAGGGAAAAAAGCGAAGTTGTTTTGACATTCGATTCTTCCGCTTGCGACTGGATGGAGAGAGAAAAAAATATGGAAGATATACGAAAGAGAAAGAGGCCAAGAAAATGTGCAAAGTCCGCAGAAAGGTAATGTGGTGTGATTGGCTGGACCTTGCTGTTTAAACAAGCTGGAAGGAAGAGCCACAAAATCCCTAATCCCTGGAAGAAATCCCTATACATTATTCATAGGGCGAAGCTCTTTTGGCATTAGACACTTATGCCCGCAGTACATCTGATCTTGATGTATGGGAATTGCAGGCGATAGCAACTTAAAGACAATCCTCGAATCATTATTATAATAATAAACCAATGATTAATTTAACCGACGTTTAAATTACCAAGACTATTAAGAGGGGGAATTCTGACGATTTTTGGGGGAATTTTACTAAAAGTTTCGAATATTTTAAGTTAGTAAACTATTTAATACATATTATATAACGAGCAGCGAAGCGTTTCAGTCGAAAATTAGGTTGGAAAGTACCGTTTAAATAGGAAAGTAGCTGAATTTATAAATTAAGCCGGATTCTCCAGAGAGCATTTTAGGGATAAAAGCGGATAAACTAAAGTAAAAAATCATTACTGGGAATTTTCTATGTTATGACTGAAGTGAAAACGAAGTAGAGAAATGTTAAATTCGAGAAAATATCAAATTTATTGCATTTAAAGTAAATGTAAAAGCGATTTACAGCCGAGTAATGGCAGTCAATGAAACTCGTTATTGGAAACGATAAAGATAGAGAGGAAAATTCATCTTGAACGGAATAAAACGTATAATCACTCTACAACCGAACAAATCTGATAAATTACGTTCAATTTCTCTCTAAAAATTATCCATAATTAATTTAAAAAAATCAATTATAAGAGTTATAAAGTATTTGATGTCTTTAAAATAAAGGATAAAGATGAAAATAGCCGTTTATCATCCATGAAAAATCATTAACGTTGTAAAATCCAAAAACAATAGCTTGATGATGGAATAATATCCATCCAAAATGGATTAAATTCACCCTAATTAATAACTGCACCAGCTTCAAATATTGCAGATACAATGATTAACATAATAAAACACGAGACAGATGAATACAATTGTCGAAAGGTCAAATAAAATGGGAAAGAAGTTGCGCATATCGAATGGTTTTTATATCTAGAAACAGCAAAAAATCGATAGATAGATAATTCAAGGTAATAAAAGCTTTCTGGGAGTTAGTGGATTGAGGAAAGAGAAAGATTTTTTTGAATCTTACAGAACTCATTCATAGGAAAAGCCAAGAGAAAAATAATTATTCGAAAATCGCTTAGCGAGAATAATAATTTTGCTAAGAACAGTTTTAAGTATGACTGACAACGGCAAATTTGTTTATTACTTAAGTTTGAAGGGCTAAAATAAGTTTGATACGCTGAGAAATATCAGATAAAATTTCAGTTTTGCAGCTTGATGCGGAAGAGGAGAGAGAGAGAGAGGAAAGTGATGCGGTGTGTCAGGTTTAATGCAAATTTTCGGATGCTAGAAAAGATTTTTAACTGTTAAAAGGTTGTCGTAGAGGCATCAAGAATGCGGAAAAGTTTAATAACGAGGGAAGAGAAAAGAGAATAGATGTTTATTAAGAGGTGTTAAGCCAATAACCGATTAGCTGATTATCAGGGATGAAAAAATGAGAAGGAGAATCGATAAATCGCCGTTTCCTGTATCAGATTGATGTGTAGCGAGACTTAATTAATTTCCACAGAGCCTCTTGCTAGTTAACAGCTATCGGAGTGACGTCCCCGGAGGTTTGTGGCAAGAGATTAATTTTGACATTATTCCGGTTTCTCCTCCTTTTTTTTTCCTATATTCCGATCCGGCCACAAATATGTCGCTGGAATGTTAAATATAGAGCCTTTATTGGATGTCGGGATGCTCTTAATGAAGGTACAATATCCCCCAACGACAGCAATCGGATGCGGGAAAAAGGGGAGAAGGCGATCACGTGACAGCGCTGCAGCATCTTCCCAAATTGATTCCGAGAGGATATTAAGAATCGGCGATACTCCCACCCGTTAATTGCGTTATGTATTTAATAAAGATCGATGCCGGGCCGATGCGGGGAGAAGAGGACAGGGGATTAAGATATAATCCAACGAAAGCGATCCGAAACTGATAAAGATGGAGAAATGATGATACAGATCGGGATGCTGGGGACGTCTCTCAATAGAAACGATCTATAATCTAACCGGTTCCATTCTTCCAGAAAAAAAGCCAAATTTGAGAATTAAATCGGAAGGAAGGGAATAAAAACAAGCAGGAAATGAAAGACTTCGATAACGATGCTCTATTGAAAGTTGGCTTATTGTGAAAAGGCTAACTTTTGAGTCTTTCTCATTACTTCTCCCTATTCTTTCTTTTCCACACAATGAGACTTTGTTGATATCCGAACAGAAAATTTCTTCCTTTTTTTTGTATCAGCATTCGTTCATTTATCAAAGATAATGCAAAGTATCGAAAGTCGCCTCTTTCTTGTACAAGTTATAGAAAAATGCGCCTGTGTGAATTGCCCCGCTCGTATCTGTTTAATAATCGAGTCTCGTATCTCTGTCCTGCTACGGGATTAAAGAAGAATCGTCTTCAAATAAATACTAGGGGGTGCTTTTAGCCACAAGTGCAGATATACGATACGGAAAGACGTGACAGTTTGTCTCAGCATTTCTCAGATTTCTCCAATGAAAGCTTCCTCTCGTTTTCCACCAGAAATGGGAAAAATTAAATCGGTTTTATCTTTAAAATTTCAACTTTCTTTTGAAGAATAGAAGAAGAGAAGGAACAGGGAAAAAACTTTCACATTTTTCCAAAATTCTTACACAGTTTATACATTAAAAACAGAGCTTGTCACATCCAAAAAATAAAAGCTTTTAATGCGCCGCCGGAATGACGTTTCCGTTTCGGAGGATAAAAAAAAAAGAAAAAAAAAATAGCGTTCTTCCCCGTTGTCCAAATGACAAGTACACTTTTTACCTCCATTAACTGCACAATATGACGTTTTCCAGATATATTTTACCAACTAAGTATCTTAACGAACGGTCTGAAGTTGACAGTCGATGTTTTGTCATCAACTGCCACATTCTGCCTTTGTTGTTGATTGGTAGAGACTCCCGAAACCATCACCCGGATCCGTTATTTGATCTGAAACACGAAATAGGACGAATTCTCCAGAGGGCCTGCCCGTAAATGTGTCGTTTCTTAGCCAACATCCCCCTTTCCGAGAAGAAAAAGGAAAGGATCCCACCTCTTCGTAAAGAGCAATTTCCATTTGAAGAATTTAATAAAAATGTTTATCAACTTCTTCGGTAACGTGTTCGACCCGCTCCTCATCACCCCTCTCCACTCTAGGGATTGGCTATCATATACAAGAAGCCAAAGATCCGAACCAATCGTCTCGACTTTCAAATATTTACAACTCACTAAATTTAATTTTCCGACCACCGGCGAGGAGTTTAGTGTCCCTTTTTTTACTCTTAAAAATGTGTGGTTCCGATTAAAAAAAAAAAAAAGGGAGACGGTTCGTAAATATTGATTGTGAAGATATTTCGTGACTGGAGTGACATCGTCGGACTTATATTCGCTTTAATAACCGCATAGAAGCTTTAACATCACACAAAAGTAATCCTGAAATATTAGTATCGATATCAGAGTTGTTTTGCAGCCATCTGAGTAAACAAGAGCTCACTCCCACCTGGTCATGAAGATGTAATAAAAGTGGAATGTTGTCCTTTGTCTTTTCCGGAGAGTATCCTCCAATAGCTGTCTTGCCCCGGGCTGTGTGACTTTGCCAACCATCAGATTTCTAACCGGACTCCGTCTCATATAACCTCTTTTAACATGGAGATAAACGGATGCTGCTCTCCCGCATCATTATGCAAATGCACCTTTTGATATCCGTAAGGTTCTTCCGACGTAATCTTGCTTCAATCGATGATTTATACCCGTTTCATCATCATCTCTTTACACAGAGGGGGATTCTGTACAACTTAAGATCGCCAAGAAGTAAAGTTCGCGAGGATTATCTTTGCCAATTTGTCGGATAATAAGAATTTACTATCGTTAAGAAACAACAAAAAATATATATATATTATATATTTTAAAAAATAATAGATGATTTATAGCTAAAATTAAAACCTTGTTAAATCCATATAAGCATTAATCAAAACGTTTTCTCACTGATTTGCTTTAAAAAAAAAGAGGCTGATGACGTTGATGTATGGCTCGGGGAAAAATAATTCTGCTTGTAGTTTGAGCAGAAAGTAATTGATTGGGAGCAAGAATTCGTAACCATAACCATAAAGAGGGTTGGGAGATGAGTGCCACACCCAGGCGATGGCACATATCTGTCTTAGCCACTCTAATTAATTTATCCCGTTGAATCAATCGGATCGGAGTTGTTTGGTACCTACCAAGCCAATTACTGCCTACGTTATGGAGGATCTTGTTCAATTGGCGCACGGTGTGGTCCAGATGCGGACCTCCTACGGCTCTTTTGTATGCCACTGTCGATGACATAAGCCGCGGGGCACCTCCATTTACCGATTCGGACACGGCAAAGAATTGCGCGTATCTCCACCGAAACAAAAAAATAAAAAAAAGAAAGAAAGAAATGAAAAGATTAAAGAGAAAAGCCTGTTTGAATCTGTCTGTTGCAGCTTGTCGACGTTTCAAAACTTTGCTACAATTTCGTGTAAAGTAGCGAGAGCTTCATTAAATATAGAAAACGAGTATTCAGCCGTCTGCCTCTTCCTCCTACTTTCTAAACTTTGCTCGACAGGGTGGGTGCGATCGATGACGACGAAACGAGCTCCAGATGGCGACACCGTCGACCAGAGGTAACGGAAGGCGGAGGTAGGCGTTCGACAGTGTCGAGGAAAGGCTCGGAGACACGAGAATGGCAGAGAAGAGAAGAGCGGGATGTCATCCCACTCGGTGGGACGTCGCGCAGAGATCCGTCTGCAAGTCATGACGACTCGAACCGTGTCAAACATGGAACGAAAGTTCAGGCGGTTCCTGAAGAAAGCCTGCTTCTTCTCGGTCATGTGCTGCGGTCTGCTTTGCTACACGTGGCACGTGGCGGTTCGCGGCTTCCGATCCGTGGCCGAATCCAATCCCGGCGAATGGAGACCGGAAGAATACGCCGTCAGGACCTGGTTGCCCAGAGGAATCAAAGAAAGGGTCGACACCAGCTACGAAGATTCAAGACCCGTTGCCAATTGCAGCTGGTATGGAGAAATAATGCACAACAACGTTACCGTCCCCAAACTTAGTCCTCCCAGTAGAAAACTACCGCAGGCGTTAATTATAGGAGTCAAGAAGTGCGGAACCAGGGCTCTTCTCGAATTCCTCAGGGTTCATCCGGACATCAGAGCCACCGGACCCGAAACTCACTTCTTCGATCGCCACTACAAGCTTGGACTGGAGTGGTACAGGTCAGTGTCATATTATTAATTAATTCATTTCCATACATTTCGGCTTATCAATCGAGCTACGTTCTAAGCCACGTAACGTAATTAAAGACGGTGCCGCCATAAGATATTCGCAACGGGTTCGGGTAGAGGTATGTGCAAGAGGAGAAGTGGACAAAGTAGGATGGGTGTAATCTTGGATGATTACAAAGCGATTGAAAGATCTCCCTTTACATAGAAGCCACGAACACGTGCGGTGACACGGAGAACCTCTCTGCGGTGTCTATTGTCGCGTGGAGGGAAACCACGCGCTGCCCCTTCTCCTCTCCACCACTTTCACCCCGCTGCCCCTCTGTTGAGTCTGACAAAGAGAAATTAGGTCGCGAGTGGTCCTATGAAAAACACATGAATTACTACGATTTCGTATTCATCAACCACGCTTAATTACATCATTCTACTGATTAAATCGACGACACTCATGCAGCCACCGTCTCCAAATTTTATTCTTTATATAAATTGACGATCAAAGAGAAGTGTAAAGTGAATCTCCAACGAATTTCTTTCTATTTTCTAAGAGAACAAAAAAGAATTTTTAAGAGTATACTCCTCAGTAATGAACTTAATAAATATATATATATATATACAACCGCATTAAAATCTCTTTTTTAACTGGAAAAAAAAACTAAAAAGATCAATTTATGTCACTTGCAACTGCTTAATCTAAAGTCATTTAAGCGCATTATTCTCTGACTTGGTGGAGAAAAAAATGGCAACATATGCTTTGACCGTTGTAACTGATGTACAGAGTTTAGGAAAGAGAAGAGAGTCGTCAGAGTTTTATTACTGTTAGTCACATCATGGGGAAGAAAGAGGAAAAGAAAATATCCAATTATGAGATGATTAGCCGCTGTTTCGTCACGGAAGAAGCGCTTAGGTATGTTTAGATGGTTTGATGTAAATCCCGTGTTACCGTTGGATGGTTGATCGATCGGGTCGGACCAGGAAATGATTAGATGTGTGACTCGAACCAAGTTGATCCATCCAAGCGTTCACTAAGTACGCCTATCATTTCCTTTTCAGATGTAATACGCTCCTTTGTCGATCCAATCTGTTCGGACATTCGTTACAGGTGATATTGCACTTTGGTCACAACTTTTCACATAAGTTCTTTTTCATAATTGCTTCGGTTTCTCCTCCAATTCCTCTCTCAAATGAATCCTTTAGACTTTCATTTAATTCTTGTAACAAACTTCTGATTTAAATATTAAACCGGAATTTTTCTCCTTTTCCTCCTCCTCCTCCTCCTCCTCTTCCTCCTCTTGGAACCGGTAACAGACTTTACAATTATAAAATCGGCAAAACTCGTGCTGATCCGTGTGCCGAACGGTAGGAAATATAGGAAAAATAAATGACTTCTAAATCTCCTATAAATCTTTTTCTCCTTCGATTCAGGTGAACATTTGCGATTTTCAAAAGTATCGCTACGTCAGCAAGGATTCGGGAGGAGAAAAAAAAAGGGATTTTTTAAGGGAAAAAAATCAATTTTTATTCCGTTCCTTTGATTTAAAAAGAGGAAATTCGTGACGGTATTAATTTTATTATCGGAGTAACGTAACGCATAATCTTCTCTAGTGCCGACTTGGGATAGTAAGAGGCAAGTTCAGCATAAAATTCGGGTTTTGCTTTGATTACCGACAGAATTGTAGAGTTTGAAAAATTCGATAACAGTTACCGGAGAGAAGTCTCTTCCATTCTTCATATAAGACGACGTTACTGGGTTTTTTGTGAAGTTTTTTTCTGCATCTTTTTTTTTACATAGAAGCCATGCACTTACCCAGGTGCAGAGACCTTAACTGACTAAAGTAAGAAAGAAGGGCTGCGAGTGACACGGGATGTTAAGGAAGTGGCTTACAGCAGTCACATGTCAATAGGTTCTCTCCGACTGTCAACTGCAGTTCTCTTCTATTTACATAGTTAGTGGTGGCTAAAGTATCGCAGTATTGAGGTTGAGTGATCCGGTATATCCCTCGGGATTCTATTGGCTCCTTAGAGAATTCGAGCTTCTTCAATTGATGGCTTCTTTCACTCCAGGTTACTTCTTTCTCCAAGTTTGATATTTAATGATGGATTGTGCACTCTCTTAGTTTCGTTTCCTTCTTCTAAATTGAGTTCGAGAGACGTTAGGATTTCAATTTTAAGCTTAAATATAAGGAGAGGGGTGTAAGTTCGTTAATAATGACGGATTGCTTCTTTCGTTGTAGACAACACATGCCAGTGAGCCTGGAAGGTCAGATAACCATGGAGAAGACGCCTAGCTACTACATCACCAAGGAAGTGCCCTCCAGAATCCACAGTATGTCTCCTCTGATGAAGTTGGTGGTAGTGGTGCGCGATCCGGTGACTCGAGCCGTTTCCGACTATACTCAGTCCACTAGCAAGAGGCCCGATACGCCTTCCTTCGAGAGCATGGCCTTCCTCAACGGTAGCGAAGGCTTAGTGGACACGGCATGGAGTGCCATTAGGATTGGAGTTTACGCTCGCTTTCTGGACTGGTGGCTGCAATACTTTCCTCTACAACAGTTTCATTTTGTTAGTGGAGAGACTCTGATACAGGATCCGGCCGGGGAAATGGCTAGATTGCAAGATTTTCTAGGCTTAAAGCGGGTAATTACCGAGAAACACTTCTATTTCAATGAAACTAAAGGCTTTCCTTGTCTAAAAAAGTCGGAGGGTAACGGTAATCCTCACTGTTTGGGTAAGACTAAAGGAAGGACACATCCCGAAGTGTCCCTTTCCACTATACAAAGATTGAGAGATTTCTATCGTCCTTTCAACCTTAAGTTCTACCAAATGACCGGGAGAAATTTCGGTTGGCCCTGATGACTCTACATATCCTGCCTATTATCTTCTTCTGTGCCAATATCTAAACCTCATTAGCATGATACTGCCACCATGTGAGAGGCAACCACCCAAAAATGACCCCATTATTGTTCTCGATTTTTTTACCTCGAGATCTCATCGATGTACAGATCACTGTATAAGAAAAGTTGTACATTAAATGAATGTAGTGGATTATCTTTCTTTTATTTGGATTATCGTGGAAAAATCTCTCCCCCCACCAAAAAATTCGATTAACACACGAAAATCTACCGTAAAATATAATATAAATATAGAAAATGTCGATTGAAATCAATGGGTAGACGTTCGAAAGGTTTAATAATTACATTGTTCAAGATAAATTCCTCTAAACTTTCATTAAGCAGAAAGAAAACTCTTTAAATTGATCCACTCTACACTTAACTTTAGAGGTTTTTCACTCCCAAAATGGGAGATTTCTATCTTTAAAATGGATCATTATATATATAATGATTATATATATAATATATATAATAAATTAGAGACTTTATTTTTGATATATTTTAATTAAAAAAAGGTTTGCCACGTCAACTAATGAAGTCTTTATAATTGCCTATTTTCGGAGATCGTTATTGGCTTTAGAGGTTTTTACTTCTGCTAATGGTTTACTTTTAGAGACGCTATCCGAAGCTTTATATTTAGAAAACAAAAGTCTAAAAGTTTCTAATTTTAGAAGAGAGAAAAGTTAAAAGTTTCTATTATATAACAATCAACGTTTTAAATACCTTTTACGTTTCTCGATAAATAGGAACCCATTAGTGTATGAGTGGATAAAACCGCTAAGCACCGGTTACGGGTTCGCACCTGACCAACGAGCTGTTCACGTGGAATTTAGTGTTTTCTTCCCGTGTTTAGCATCTAAATAGGGGCTAAAATCCCCATTAAAACCACTAAACACCGGTAGTTGATCGCGGGTTCGCGCCTCACCGACGAACTGGCCGCGTGGAATTTAGTATTTTCTTCACGTGTCTAGCACCTAAATATGGGCCACTTTTCCCACAGAAATATATGAGCCAGTTTTCTTTAGTATTTAGCAGCTAAATAGGGGCCACTTTCCCACAAAAACACCTAAACACGAGCCAGTTTTCTACAGTATCTAGTACCTAAACTCGAGCCATTTTTATACTGTATCTAGCACCTAAACACGAGCCAGTTTTATACAGTATCTAGCACCTAAACTCGAGCCATTTTTATACTGTATCTAGCACCTAAACACGAGCCATTTTTCTACAGTATCTATCACCTAAACACGAGCCATTTTTATACAGTATCTAGCACCTAAACTCGAGCCAGTTTTCTACAGTATTTAGCACCTAAACAGGGGTCACTTTCCCATAGAAAGTCTTTCCTCCAGGCACCCCTTTCCTAACAGATCGAGCTAGTGTTACGTGGCCTCACATCATCAATTCCATCTAATCATCGAACAGAGACAGAGACATAGGAGATTCTTAATTTACAACAAATATAAGTCTAAAAATTCCACAAAATAGTATCTTCTAGTTCAGAAAAATAAAATCCAAACATTCGAAAAATAAGTTTAAAACCGAAATAAGAAGAATTTTCAGTGGATGATATGAGTTTTATTAAATAAAACTGCGCTAGAATAAACAGCGATATGTTACAATTGCCTCTCTCATTAATGATAATTTGTGTCGTCAAGATATTTACAAAGCCGAGAGAGAGAGAGCAGCTTAGCATTGACAAGCTAATTCCCGAAACGTCATTCGGTTATCGCCATGTTTAATTTAACAGTCTGAAGCTTTAATTAACAGTCGCCAACCTCATCAAATATGTTTCGCTCTCTTCCATTTTGCACCTCTTCGCTATAACTTTCGACCGGGATTAGCACTTTGGGATTAGCCATAAGATCATTAAAATCCCCGACAGAGGAAAAACCACTATTAAAGAGGCATCGATTCGGTTCAAAAGGGGAGCGAGGAACCAAAAAAAAAAATAAATAACAAACTTTAAGGATATAATTACGAGAAAGTCGTTCCTTTAATCGAAATCTTCTTCAGTTTTTGAGGGAGACCATTAATGTAGGATACGTATCCTGGTGAATATACGGATGCGTAATTGTTACAGAGGGAATATATGATAATCCCACGCTTTATCTGACGTCTACATGTATCCATTCTGATCAATATAGGAAAGTTTGGCCGGCAATACCATTTTCCAAACTGTAGCACGTGACTGGAAGAGAAAATGATGTATTTTTGTTGTAAGATACGCTGTGATTACAGTTTTTCCATCCGTTTTCTTTTCGTTATCGATTGTTTCCTGCCGCACACACCCATATATATATATATATATAACTCTACAATTCAAACTTTGCGCCGCTTATTTGAATGGAGAAACCATCACGAGATTGGATGAGGGATGGATGCGGCTTTAGATGAATAGAAATCCGAAACGTGCGATTACTCGTATCTCGTATATTTATACGTCCGTGCCACGCCGTAACTATTTTATTATGAAATTTAATTAAAAAAAAAAAAAAAGAGTATTATAGAAGAGGAGAAAGAAGAAAGATGGCTGGCAGCAGGACGTCTGTAAAGCATTGACCGAGCGAAAAGCAGAGACATGGTAAGTCCCGTGATTAAGAGCGTGAGCGTGTGGTAGTCTTGTCACGTTTAAGTTTGTCACAAGTTTCTTCTTGCGGCGGCTGTATTGACGAAAATGTCACATCGCCATCGACTCCCTACAGAGTCGCCTTAATTCTAAATCTGGGTGCCGCATTTCTCTCTTTCTCTCTCTCTCTCGTCGTCCAGAATGCTACTGACTATCAAGCGTGTATGGCCATCGATCCTCAAATATCCTATTTATTTTTTTATATATTCTTATTTTTTTTAAACCTCGAGACGGTGGAATAAAACAAGAGGCAACGGAGGTGTAGTGGAACTTAAAGATGGAAGAAGAAGTGGAGGATGGGAGAGGCAAAGTTAGACTAGAATTTATCTCGGTCTTTATTGGAGAGAATTGTAAACTCGTCTGAGCTTCTATTATCTTTAGCAAACAGCGCTTAACCGTCTTTTGTTTATCAACTAACTCGCTTTGCATTTAAATATATTCTGGGCATAAAAGGATTTCCTCATTTCTGCCGCTCTTCGTCGTCCCTTGCAAATGACGTCTGACGTTATAACGCCATTCCTAATAAGAACTCTGATAGGATAAAAACGGGATTGAACTTTGAAATCCACTAATAGCCGTTATAATTGCATTAATCTATTGAAGGTTCTTAGTAATTAGATTGAAGCGACGACACAATGCATTTATCTAGGTTCTTTGTAATTTTCTGACGGGTAAAAGACATTCAAAAGCTGTGTGCAAATCTTGCAATCGGGTCAATAGACTAAACAGACTTTAATGATTAATTAAATTGCAGGATTTCGAAAGGAAGGAAAGAAACCATCTGAACCGAGTTAAACCGTTAATAAAAGAAATTCAAAGCATATTCTCTCTATTCTTAAGAGATTATCCACTTAAGGGAGCATCGATTTCAGTTGCCAGTTGGTTTTTCATTCTCGCCATCCCCGAGAGACAATGACCCGGTGACATCTTGTCTTTTAGCAGCAATTCTCCCAAAACGTACTCTTTTGTCAACTCTGATTGACTCCAGCATTTACCACTCACCTCCTAAATTGATGATAGGAGTGCATTTTTTTCCCTCCTCGTCTCTCTCTCTCCTACCCTTAATCTTCGTCTTTAATTTATGCTTCCTTCCAGAAGGAGATGATAATTAAAGAGCTGAGAGGCATTCAATTAAACGGTATTGTCGGAGGAACGAACAAGAACTGAAAAAACTATTAGCAGAGAATAGGCCATGCGTTTCTTTGGTCATTACAACTTTCTCTTGTACGTCGTTGATAAACGGAGACGAGAAGAAAAGAAAAACCTATTCTTTTCATCGCGATAACGCTTTTACTACTGATTAATACCTTAAATCTCCAATTTCCTTCTTCTAACCATATCTAAAATTGTAATTTTCTGTTTAGTCTCGACAAAACGACAAAGCCTTTCTCTTATTATTGTTTCTAAAGATGATTAATCATCATCGCAAGATACGGGATGCAAACCATTCTCTTTTAATTGGTCCTGGGAGAAGCAATCGTGGCCTAAAAATTGTCGATAAAGCTTTAAAATACTTCAAAATGCCACATTTTTCCCCTTTCTTTCTAATTCTGTTCTACGTTACGACCATCTTAATGGTGCCTTTCTTTCACTCGTTTTTATAAACCTCGCTTCCAGGCAAACTTTAGTAATTTATTCGAATGTGCACAAAAGCATCAAATTGGCCAGCAATTATTTTATACTCATTAGAGAGAGAGAGAGAGAGAGAGAGAGAGAGAGACGAGCGCGTGTTGGTCCCCTTTTTTATAGCAGATAAAAATCCACAAGAGTTATGTCGCTGAGCATTTCTCCTTCTCCTCATATTTTATCTTCCACGTCTGTTTAGTGCAATCTGCAAAATGATTCCTTTTTAAAACAAAACCTTCTTTCTTATCATTTTCAATTTGGCATCTTCCACTGAGAATTTCACAGATTCTTCTTCTACTTCTATGAATTTAAACTCTATTTATTGGGGTCAATATTTGGGAGTCGATAGGTATACTCAAGACCGCTTCTCTTTCTCTCGGTATCCGGTTTAGATAGCAATTAAATGGAGATAAGTGTCATTTGCTCAGTTCTCAAACAATCTGCAAACTGCAATTAAAACCGGAGTAGCTGTATTTACTAAAGTCAACAGGATACAAAATGACCATCTGTGTCGACTAACAAAGAGAAACTCGTGAATAGTAATATAGATAATGACGAGTCATTATCATCCTCATCACCATCTTCCAATATGGCATCCCTATATTTGTTGGATGTAATTTACGACTTTTAGGCATCACCTCGGTGGCAAGAATACCTGAGGGAATCCTCCTAACCTTCTAATTCGATTTGTTCTTCTTTATTGGTGATGTGATTGCAACTGTCTCCTTTCTCACCGTTTCTAACGTCGTAGAATTTAACGAGAAATAATTGTTTATAATTGTAGAAGATTCTTAAAGACGGTAGTATCTGTCGATTTTATGCTTGATAAAAAGATTGAAGATAAGTTATTTATGGATGCGGTTTTCCTTTTTATTGTTATCGACCAAAA